ATGTAGTTTACAATTTTAGCTGTAGTTTACGGAAAAAAGATAATGAAAAGGTTTTTGTATTGTTACCTTCGTATCTTCTCATCAGAGAAGATAAATAAAATAATTTTGTTTCAAAGAAAAGACGTGAGCAGATGTGTTGCCTATTCATTGAAAATGAATCTGTTTCTTCGTGGGGCCTACTGTAGGCCTATATATATTTTATGTCTGGCTATTGTTTGTCTTAAACCAATTTGTTTTATTTCATGCATGGATTGGCTTATTTAGGACAGTAATATCCAATAAGAATTAAGAATTGGTTTATACTGGTGTAACAATCCGCTGCTAGTTATTGTAGGTGCACTGCAAATACTTAAGAAAAAAAGCTCAGGAAATAAATTATGACATTATTATTATTATTATTATTATTATTATTATTATTATTATTATTATTATTATTATTATTATACATATTTGAATACACTTGCTGCATTGGGAAAAATGGTATCTTACTAATATTTCACCCTACTTTTACCATTCACAGAGCATTCGAAACCAAAATTCTTACGCATAAATTTATTGCCTATAGGCCTATTATTAAAATTATAGTATACTATTTGTGAGCTTTGTAGCTCTTTTCTACATTTTTCATCCACACAGTAAGGTATACAGGAGTCTTGAAAGGAGGGGCGCCAATGTGAACTTAGGAGAGGGAGCCTTGATGATTAAATACGCTAGCTTGCAAAAATAAGGTGATGGTGGTGAACTACTTAAGCGTCATTTTTTGGCTTTGAACATTCAAATTGGGGCGACTGGGAGGGCGGGAGCACCTCCTAGACACGTCAATTCATCTAGTACTTAAAATATGGTATCTGCTGTGAATATATCGTTTATCAAAGAACACGTACACATTGCCAGCTGCCACGTATGCAACTCACAGAAGTGCGATAGACAGATTTTTATTTGTAATGACACTTCAGGAGAAAGAACCCGCGGGGTGGGGAAATACCACATATCACTAAAGGGGGCTGAGGTTTCAAAGGTCGCACGCCTGCAACTTTGTTTAACCTGAAATCTCAGAAACATCCGAGAATCAAATAGTCTTTAATGTCTTGTCATCATGGATCCATCTATTGTCACATCATGCTGATCTCCAATCAGCATGATGAAAGAATGGCTAAGCTCCGCCCCATGGATTGTTGCTAAGGTCCCACAATTCAACAGTAATCTGCAGAAAATTGAATAACATGTTTTGATTGGTCAGTTGTTAAGTTTGATTGACACTCTTGAATAAACATTACAAATAACTTTACTCTAGTCAGTTTCTTACATTACAGTACTGTATGTGTATTAACACTATTGTTTTAAAAAACAAACATTTTTTGCTTGGTAAGGTACAAAGTTTTTTGTCTCAAATAGATCTGAGATTTTTTATATCATTTATACACCAAATCAATACAGCCGATTTAAAGGAAGATGTTTAGATAGGAAAAATTGCAATGTTTTAATGCTTCTTTTTTTTCCAAAGAAAACATAATTTAATTCCAATTGCTATGTTTTTGAAATTCTTTGAAATAAACATACTATTTATATATCTCACCTTTTAAGATTAATCTTTAAATTTAAATTCTAAATGGCTTGTGAGCATTTTCACTACAGAATAAACAAATTTATCGAGCCAACGCGTAAATGGTGTATACATGGGTGATGAAAGAACTCAAATGGAAAACTAGTATTATTATTTGAACAAATAGAGAGGCATAAATAAATACAAACTAAAAGCCACCTTTGTAACATTCACTTCAGGCTTATTTTGACTGCTACACTATTATGGGATATTATTGTTATTGTTACCTTTAAAGGTTAAAGATTTGAAGTGGAGGTGCAATTGTAGGTTTGTTTTTATAATAGACAGAGATATAAAAATAATTATTGACAGGAAAAACATTATCGTATGTTTATACCGAAGACATTTATTGTTTTATTCTTTATAATCTATTTATTAATTCATTAAATAATATTTCCAAGGGACAGCACAATTAAATTAATGTACCCTAAACAGAAAAAATTAACATCTAGAGTAAAAAATAGGAGTACACAAACGAAGCCAATAAATAGAATAACAGTGTAAATCTGGTCAGATTTATATATAAAATTTAATAAAATAAAATAAAATAAAAAATTAATTTAATTTAAAGTAATACAAAAAAAATCTTCTTATCGTGTTCACACACAGAGGCCTACATGCTAGGTAATTTGTGTAGCGACTGTATGGAAACCAATCTCTAACCACTTAGCGGTCATATATACCTTTATGTTTTTTAAATGCCAATGACAATGTCATTTCCCTTGTCATCGCCTTTGCATTGTCATTGCCATAATTTCAATGTCATTGTCAATCCCACTGCCATTGGTTCTGGTTCTGGTTCTGGTCGGTAAAGATCGACCTCCAAAGGTGTAGGAGTAAAACAGGATGGGTAGAAATAGTGTGAATGACAGGGTGCTATCCATGTCATTGCTAATTGTATTATTACTACCACCACAATCATCATTCATTCATTCATTCATTTATTCATTCATTCAATGAATGAATGAATGAATCAATCAATCAATCAATCTTTTAATCAATATTATCAATATTACGGTACTGTATTATATGATTATTGTTATAATTGCTTTCGTTCGATAAATATGACGATTGTGCAATATATAAAATATTAAATTATTTATTATAATAAATGTAGACACACCTGATTTACTGACCATTACAGCCTGGGTAGATATCACGATGGGACCTGTGAAAATGTCCCGTAAATCCACAGAACTAGTACTTTTAGCAAACTAGGCGTGAAAACCACATTGTTGAAAATAAAAGAAGAATTAACACGAAGAAACAACTATTAATGTCATGCCGTTGCTTGTATCCATTGTTTGCCTTTATTACAATTACGTATACATTCAATCATGAAACAGTAAATCGTGAAGTACAATATTTTAGACGACACACTTATCCTGGTGCAAGTCAGTAAATCGCTTAATAACACCGCCCTCTATAACTTAATAAATAGACTTTCACAATAATTGTTTTGACAATACTCCGCTAAATAAGTAGACTTACAAATTGTAAAAATATGGTTGTTTTGACCTGTAAAAATAATTCCAATTAATAATAATTTATGACCTTTTTTCTTCGGAGTTATAGGTTTAAGCCTATACCACAACATAACTACAAAGGCACTTTCTTACCAATTTATTAATAAATGAACATCAAAACAACTCTCACATTATCGCGACCTAGTACTGCGACCGTACCAACCTGCGGTCGTATCCGACTGGAAGTAGGACCTGCCTTCTTGTCATTTATTGGTGGAAAGTAATAACGGCCACTTTAGCCAAATGTTTACGGCACGTGTGAGAGCGACTACTATTAGACTGACCAGTACTGACCACAATAAATTTCTAAACATGTTGAAAACTCCGCGACCATGCACGACCTCTGCCTTGTCACGAGCAAGTTGCTCTTAGCTGCTATCATACTATCACGACCTGGCCACGACGGTGTCGGTCGTGTACCGATCGCAGTGTAGGCCTTGATAGTGTGAGAGTAGCTTAATTCAATTGTCTACAACATAACAGACGCTTAGAAAACGACGAAATTTTCACATTGACACCCAAATCGAATATGCAGTACAGCATATCGCCAAATATAACAACTTGTAACATTTTTTGGTCAAGGATTGCTAAGTGTGAAATTATTTTCACGTACCAATCTCAGTAAGGCGACACTTTTTTATACTTTGTTTCGAGAATTTATCAATTTTTTTAAGATCGTCAGAGGAGGGCGAAAAAAATAGTTTTACCAAAAACCTTTATATGGAGGAAAAAATAAAAATTAAATATTTGTTTTAATTGGTCCAATACATTTGTAAAACATATAGGCCTTATAATAATAGACCTATATATTACCTAACACAATCTGCACATTGTTTCAACTCCTCTTTTTTCCACATACTATCAAAATTGTTACATCAATAACCTTTATATTGGCGATTACACAATTATTTAAATGAAACAATTTAAATTAACATAATATGTATTATAAAAGTGCAGTGAATTTAAATGTGTAAATAACACCTGGTGGAGGTTATTATCATAATGATTCAATATAATAATATAAAATGGTATAATCTGATGATTTACATTATAACACTATAAATCGTCGCTCACATCACGAACTAACACAATCAA